CTCTGGAGCCCTCAGCACAGGACAGAGCTGGAGCTGTGGGAGCGGGGCCAGAGGAGGACCCAGCCATGATGCGAGGGCTGGAACCCCTCTGCTGGGAGGAAAGGCTGGGAGAGCTGGGGCTGCTCAGCCTGGGGAGGAGAAGGCTGCACGGAGACCTCATTGTGGCCTTTCAGTACTTAAATGGGGCTTGTAAGAAAGATTTGGGCAATCTTTTTGGCAGGGCCTGTAGTGACAGGACAAGGAGTAATGGTTCTAAACTAAGGGAGGGTAGAGTTAGACTGGATATAAGGAAGAAAGTGTTTACGACGAGGGTGGTGAAACACTGGCACAGGTTGCCCGGAGAGGTAGTGGAGGCCCCATCCCTGGAAACATTCAAGGCCACGTTGGACGGGGTTCTGAGCAACCTGATCCAGTTGAAGATGTTCCTGCTCATTGTAGGGGGCTTGGACAAGATAACCTCTAAAGATCTCCTCAGCCCAAACCATTCTGTGAGTCTATGAAACTGAAAACACAGGAGCGCTTGGGAGGAAAGGGAAACAGGCTCCCGAGCACAGGCTGGCTCCTTGAACGGGTGACAGTCCCCACCGGAAAAGCATCCTGGGCCGTGCGCCAGGAAGATGAGCCCGCTCTTTACCCTCCGGCTGCGGTGACCACGCTTCTGCTGCTGCTCCATGAGCTCGATGGAGTAGGTGGGAGGCGAAGCAGCACGCATGCTGCGCATCACCTGGATGCTGTCCTCCGGCAAGGGTGGCAGCCCCAGCTCCTCCCGCTTCCTCATCTTCATTGCCTGCAGGGCTTCAAATCCACCCAGTGTGAACTAGGGACCAACAAGAGAGGTGAGAAAGCGGGGAGCAGACATCCCACCCGGACTGCACGGCTCTTCTGGGCTTCCAGGGGAGCAGCAGTTTGAGGCCATCAAACTGGAGAGTTGAGGATGAAGACACCATGTCACTGGTTTGTTCTCCAGACTTCTCCCACACCCCACGTCCTCTCATGGCTCAGCCCACCCTCATCCCAGAAGAAACTGTTTGCCTTGTGTCAGCTTCCTGTGCCATCCTAAATAACCTCATTATGGTTGGATTGAATAGTGGGGAATAACCAGGCTGCATCAGCACTATTCCCAAAATGGCTGGTTTCTGGAAAAAGGAAGGGTTTGCACCCACCAGAAGCACCTTCCAGAGCAGGAGCAGGACCTTCTTCATGGGGAAGTGTGGAGCATGGCCACTGCAGAACTTGGTCACCATTGTGAAAAGCAGAAGAGCAAATGGCTCATCAGTGTGCACAGGGAAACCTGGTGGAAAGAGGGACCAGGAGCAGGTTCAGAGCAGATCCCTCGTCCCTGGGGTCTCCTCACCGGTCCAGCATGATGAAGGGACCTCATTAGGGCCAGTGAACTTTGTGGCTCACTCAGCTCCATCCTGAAGGTCTCCCGGCAGGTATTCCACTCGGGGGGATCCGCCTCCTGCTCCACACGGATGTTCTCCACCATCAGGTACATGACACTGAGCAGCACCCTGCCGGGACAGCGCGGTGGGCAGGGGTCTCTGCCAGCCAGAGGCCACTTTGTCCAGAGAGGTTGTCCCGCAGCCTCCACCCAACATGCTAGTGGGGGGCTGAGAGGGAGTACCTGAGCTCCGTGCTGTCGGCCAGCGAGATGGCCGGCTTCCTCAGGGCGCTGCTACAGGCCTGGCTGTTGCTGTGGGGAAGGGGACGGGGTCAGTGCCACCAGGCATGGGGTTCCCCTCACCCCAAACCCCAGCCTACGCCTGCAGCGGTGAGAACACCGTGCTGGGGGATGTGCTGAGGCTGCAGCACCTCCCTGGTCCCCAGTGAGGAGGAGGAGGAAGGGGAAAGAAGAGCATGAGAAGGATGGGGAGAAAGAAGATGAAGAGGAGAGAGGAGGATGGAAGAAGAGGGTGAAGAGGATGGGGAGAGAGAAGATGAAGAGGAGAGAGGAGGATGGAAGAAGAGGGTAAGGAGGATGGGGAGAAGGAGGATGAAGAAGTAGAGAGTGAGAAGGGCAAGAAGGATGGGGAGAAAGAAAATGAGGAGGGAGAGGAGGGCGAGGAGAAAGAGTAAGATGAGGATAAGAATGAGGAGAGAGAGGGCAGTGTGGGTCCTCTCACTCAATCTCCATGTTGAGGAGCTCCAGGAAGGCAGTGAAGGTTCCCAGCTGGTACAGGAGGAAGCTGTTGTGCCGAGACCAGTGCAGGACATCGCCTTCATTATCACAGTCTCCAAAGATGCCTGGAGAAGCCCAAAGGGAGACACTGGTTAGAAGGAAGCTGCCTTTGAACCTCTGGAGCACACAGGGCCATTCTGGGAGGAAGCTTCACTGCACCAACCTGGGATGACCCCAAGACAAGGCTTCTCTCAAGCCCCCATGCTGAAGCCAGGCAGCAGATACGTGGTGGTCCTTACCCTGTGCCAGGTAGAGGATGGCCCGTGCTACTTTGAGCCTCTTGTCCCTGTTGACCACCTCCAGCCCATCCAGCAGGCGCATGACGTAGGCCTTCTGCTGAGCCCCATCCAGCTCCAGCCACCTCCTGCCCTGCACTGGAATGGGGACACAACAACCAGCTGGGTGCTTCCCTGGGGATCCCGCTCTTGCCCGGGGGGGGCTGAGCCCACAGCTGGTACCTTGAGCGTGAAAATCCTCCTCGAAGCATCTCCTGTTGGTGCTGAGCTCGTGCTCCTCGGTGTAGCTGTACAGCTCTGATGGAGAAAGGGGTCAGCAGGGACCCAGAGGGGTTTCACCCTCCTCATCATCGCCAAATTCCTCGTGGAGCTCTGAAAGGTCCCAATGCACCCGAGGAGACACGGGGCAGAGACCTAAACTTATCCCCAAGCCCTTCTGTAGCTTCAAGGGGCACCTTGGAGCCACCCAAAGCTACCAAATTCATAATTTTCATCCCCGTGTCCGGGCTGGGTTGTTCCCATGCTCCTGCCCACAGTGATGGTGCTCGGGCTGCTTTTCCAGTTTCATGGGGGTTTTTTTGGGGAGGGGGGAATTTTCTGTCCCAGTTCAGGCAGTTTGCAAAGGGAGGGAGGGCAGGAGCACCCGGACGAGACCTGCACTGATCGCACACCCAGCAGCTCGGACATTTTGGGACCTGCAAACAGGGGCTGGACTTGGAGGGACATGATGCCCGTTCCTGTGTAATTCCTACCTGGATTTATATAATTCCTATAGTCCTACAGTGCTGAGCAGCACCATGGGGGTCTACAACAGTTCTGCAAGGGAGGAGGAAGGACCCCTCAAAGAAAAAAAATGTGCTTTAGCCAGGCCAGCTCATGCACGAGACACAGGCAGCTAAAAATAACCCCCTTGCTGGGACCCCAAGGGTTACAGGGCGGAAGCAGCCGGAGTCGGAAGATACGGGACGAGGACTCGACCCATCACGACACCCGCGATAAAGGGTGACACTTCCCAGCCTGGGCTAAGGGGTCACCCTTCCCAGCCGGGGCTGTGCCACCGGCCACGCCACCCGTCCTCCCACCCCGGCACGCCTGTCATCGTCTCCTGGATAATTCGGAGCGCGGGGTAATCCCCGTGCCCCCACGCGTCCCTTTTGCTCGTCCTCGGGGAGCGAGTGGCTCTCTATTAATAAATCCCTCTTGCTCTATTACCACCAGGATGATACCACTCCATATCCATCCCCCGTCCCGCTTGCCCAACTCCCTGAGGGAATATTTTTTTTCTTCCCCCTCCCCGGTGGGCACCTATTAATAGCAACGCAGCACCCAAACGCCGCTTCACCTGCTAACTCGGCGCCGTGGCCATCGGCATCCCCGTATTCGAACTCCAGGTTGGGGCAATCCACCGAGCCCTGCGGAGAGCGGGTTGGGGTTAGCGGGAGGGGGGGCTGGCGCATCCCCATGGATATTTCGGGAGGCAGGACGGCTGCCAGCGCTCTCAGCCTTTCCGTTAAAGCTCCTCCAGCCCCTGGAGCAGCACGTCTGATCTCGACACTCTGCGATTCCATGACACGGGTCTCCAGGGCTCGAGCGGATCGTCCGGGCGAGGCTACTTAAAACACAGTGCAAATTTGGAAGGCGAGTCTAAAAATAGCATTTCTGAAGTCCCGGAGAAAGCAGAGGCAGGACCTAAAGTGCCAGTGAATATTTGATGCATTTCAGAGCCCCGCATATGCTCAAAAAAAAACAAAGTCCGAGGCTGGTTTGAAGCAAAGGTGCCCAGGAGGATGCAAACCCCCCGCTGCTCTGTCCTCGGCATCCCAGATCCGACAGCTTTCAGGGCCAAGCTGTGCCCTTTTGAAGCCCGCGGGGTTGTGGATCTCCCTCCTCCTCCTCATCTCCCCAAACACGGGGCTTGGTCCCATTC